GGAATAGCAATAGCTTATTTTATTTTAGAAGTCTTTGCTCAGGTAATTTCTGTGGCAGGTTGCTGAACGAGCTCTTTTTTTGTGGAATAATGAGCACATAGTGGATTTAATTGCCCAGAATCGAGCTGTCGTGTTACCAATTATATTTGAGGCGTTGGAAAAGAATATCCAGAGTCACTGGAACCAGGCAGTTCATGGACTATCTGTTAATATTCGGAAAATGTTCTTAGACATGGATGCGGAGTTATTTGAAGTGTGTCAGAGGCAGTATGCAGAGAAAGAGTCTAGGGCCAGAGATGTGGAAGAGCTGCGAGAATTGACATGGAAGAGACTGGCTGATGTGGCAGCACAGAGAGGGGGGGAGGATATGATCACTGTTTAACTGATTTCTCTGGGTCAGACGGTCATGGTCCATGCGAAAAATGGATGGATGGCAGGCGAGGGAAGTGCTCGAGGTTATTATTATTCTTTTTCTAATTTTTTTTTCAATCTTATTTTTTTCATCTCGATCTAATCATTAAAAATGTCAGAAAAATCAGCCGTAGTTGTAATTTAAAATGTATGGAATTTGTTAGCATATGCAGCGAGCATGAAGAATGATTTGTGATCATCTCTTTTGATTTTTTTTTGCCCTTTTTGTGAAAGAATCTGCTTGTCATAAAAGGTGGGTAGGGAATCTGCGAGCATGAAGAATGATTTGTGATCATCTCTTTTGATTTTTTTTTGCCCTTTTTGTGAAAGAATCTGCTTGTCATAAAAGGTGGGTAGGGAATCTGCGAGCATGAAGAATGATTTGTGATCATCTCTTTTGATTTTTTTTTGCCCTTTTTGTGAAAGAATCTGCTTGTCATAAAAGGTGGGTAGGGAATCTCTTCTTCAGGTGACCTGTTTAGAAGTAGGTATTCGAGTGAGATGGTCTTGCACAGCGGAACGCCAAGCTTTGTGAATTGTGATGATACTGTGCAGAAACTACCGCACCGAATACTCTAATAATATATTATGGTAATGTATATTTTATTTAGTGGCGTTAAAAAAGAGGGTTGGTTCCTTGGTTTTGAGTTCTTGCTGTGTTCTGCAAATAATGGATGGAGGGATGAAAACTGTATCAGTGTCTGCCCTGGCCGTGGTGTGGAGACGCTTTTCACACGTCTTGAGTTCTTCTTCAAATGATGTTTTTCACACGTTATCGGAATCTGTGTACACGCTTAATCTATGATATGTAAAACCATAGTTATCGGAATCTGTGTACACGCTGCTAGCTATCGATAAGGCGTCGAGACGCTTTTCACACGTCTTTTCGAAGAAGCTGTGATGGGTGCGGTTTTATGAGAGCATAGTAATGGAGAAGGTAATGGCCAAAGATGGATTCAGTGTTGGCTGGATTTGACACAGGTTTGCCGCAATGCTAAAACTATGGTGCATGCATCTATGATCTATCGTCATTAACATCTTCTTCAAATGATGCTTTCCATGGTAGCTAGGCTGACGCCCTGGTGGCTTAGCATGGAGACTAAGAAAAGGCCTGTTAGCTACGCTTTGTCGGAAGGGCTGGGCTACTAGATGGGAACAATCCCACACCTGGACAGGCGTGAAGCGATGAGATCATGAAACGGTTGTTGTCTCTTAATTTACAGGGTTAGATTCTCTGGAACCATAACACCATTAATTAACTGTTGTTTGAGGAGATAGGAATCGATTGAATTGCATGTTGGTTTAGAAATACGACAGTATACCAACCATTCCATCAAAATCCAACAAGAAGAAAATTCAGTAACAAAATCCCCTCTATATAATAAATATAATAAAAAATAATAATTTTTATGATATTTATTATTTAATTTATTAATATTATATTTAATTTAATTGATAATTTTAGAGAGTTAGAAGTTTTTTATTTTAACAAAATTTGAGAACATTTTTTATTTAAATTTTTTTATCCTGTTTAAAAATACATACCCAAATTTTTATCTTGTTTAAAAATACATAAAAAGAACTATAATAACTAAACACAATAAATTATCACATTTCATAATTACATATAGCCTTTTATATATATATATATCACCTACTAGATAATTTAGGCTAGTTAATAGCATGACTATATTATACTTTTACTTCTACCTCAATGGCCTTATTCCTTACCACCTTATCCTCAAGAGTTAAACTCTTTTCAAAGCTATCAAGTTTATTATGACAAATATTAAATCATTAGGACACATAGGCATATTCTTCATGTTCTTCATCATTATTACAAAGCATAGCTATAGCCTCTCAACCCTCCCATGAAAACAAGCCAACCTAATATTAATAAAATATTATTATGAAATTAAAAGACCAATAAATAAAATAAATTCTTTAACATATATTAATTCTAAAAAGATTTGATTACTTATAGTATTTTAAATTTGTTGAGCATGTTGCTTGTATTACATGCATGTAGGTGAAGGAACTTACCTATGAACTAGTATAATAACCCGACATGATACTCATATACCAAATTATATATTACTCCCCTGTAATCATAAAATGTATCTCTGTAAATATTTCATTTCTCCATTCGCCCCATTATGATACATAAACTTCATGACAGCTTAGCTAGCTGTAATTATTATTTCTACGGTGATAATTTATGACATGTAATGCATCACTTGTGTCAATTTTGATTGGAATGTGTTATTTGTAGTCAAATTGTCGCATTACCAAATCTGAGTAACATGGCTCAACCATCTAAAAAAATAAATAGGACCACCGATGTCCATCTATTCATCCTGCATGTGAAAATAATCGAAGCAACTAGCACTCTTTAATATTCATAAGACGTTCATATAATCTGTAAAAGATAAGTTTTTTAAATATTAAACAACAATAATTTGGTGAAGTTAAGTTTTTTCTTTAATAAATGGTTCAAAAAAATATCTAAATAGGTTACTACCTATTCACAAGGTGTCCACGTGACCTGTAAAGGATAAGTTTCTTAAATATTAAACAACAATAATCTGGTGAAGTTAAGTTTTTTCATTAACAAATGGTTCAAAACAAATCTAGATAGATTATTACCTATCTAACTTGTTCCAATAAAATAACAATACATGTGTTAGATTATTATCAAATACTTTACTAACACACCCCCTAGCATTATAAATATGTCAATTTAATTCTATTTTTAAAATTACAATTAGACAACATAAATGCATATAATTATAAAATAACATTGCAATATATATATCATAGTGGGAGTTAGAGTGTAACCCTTATAGTTTGGACAGTCATAAGTAATAATCTAAAATTTAGAACCGATCCATATAAAGATGCTCTAAAGGCTATAGTTGTTATTAAATAAAAAAATGAGTTATTTATTTTGTGCTAACAATAAATATTTAAAATTTAAATAATTATTTTAAATTCTTCATTTTATACCGTAGAAGTAGCAAACATCCCCCATCTTATTTGGCCTCCTTTCATGTACGCAAGACATGAATGTATGTACAAGTATGCAAATAGAACATATCCCCAATTATAGGTGGGAATTACATCAAAATCATTCAGAAGCATTATATAAATTAAAGGTATATATCTCTCTGTCAAGTTTATGAATAATAATACATTGTCAAATAGATGCAATATATATGATCTAGCATACCTACATAACACATTAAAATTATCATACTAATTCACATATACTTAACAAATAATCAATACATTTAAATCATAATTTAATTGGTATCTCTGAAAGACCTCGTCGTTAGCATCATCTAGTGGTGTGGTAAATATCTTATTAATCCATTTAAAATGCATGTCACCTTCTTCAATTCAGAAGAAGAGGGTGCCAATATAAATACATGCTTGTATAATACAATTCGGTTATGCATGCTAATAGATATAACTACTTGTCCATCAATAAAAAGTCTAGACAAAATTACAATATCTTATAGTGTTAGTGTCATTTCTCCATACCTAAGATGTAATATGTGTATCTCATGTATTCATTACTCAATTAGTGCATAGATTAAGTTGTGATCAAATTTGATAGCTCATATTAATCTTGATATTCGGGTCCTTGAAAGGTGCAATTAAACTTTTAATTTTGCACTTAAATCCCTTTAACCTATCATGATTTTTAAAAAGAAAAGGATGATTTTTAAGTAAATCTAACATGAGGTTATAACACCCTATATATAAGAGAAAAATCTATGAAACTTTTGACAAAAACTTTGGTGGAGGATAAATCAATTTTAAAGGATTAACAATAATTAAAACATGACTTGTTGAGATAAAAAAGAAATTATGATATTTTTTTAAAACATGACATTGAATGTTTATTGTGAAATATATTAAAAATAAGGTATTGACTTGAACCTTTTTAATCTAATGAACCTAAACTTCAAACTAATTATATTAGAGTTGTTGTGGCATGACCAAATTGATTTGATTAGCTAAAGGCAACCAAGATGAGCAATGAAAAGTGACTTGACTTTCATAAATATAAATAAATAGCATGACCAAATCAATTTGATTAGCTAATCATATTATTTTTTTTCTTTTCCCTTCTTTTATCTCTCCTGGTTAGGCTTTCATTATGCTTATGTTGGATTGCATTTAAGCCTAAATTTAAATTTTATTAGATAATTAGTGATATAATAGAAAGAAAAGAGTTTGGATCCAAATGAGATGAAATTTAAAACTCAAGTGATAGGCTTTTATATAATTAAGGATCAAATTCAAAAAAAAAAGCTTAGGAGCCTTTTCGCATTTGCCTAGGTCTTCAAAAATAATTTTTTTCTATGTTTTTGGAATTATCTTGATAACAGTGTTGATATAGTTGGTATTAAGAAATGAATTTTGATTTCTCTTCATAAATCTATTAAATTTGCATTCAATCAATTTTTTCTTATAATTTTTTCAGATATGTTCACAAAGAATAATAGATATTTTTTTGTTTCCCATTTTTTTTTTAAAAAAAAAAAGAAAGAAAAAACAAGCCACAAAATTGGATCACTTGGAAAACAAGATTTTTTTTTTTTTTTCGTCTAAACCAATTTCATTTTATCTGGCAATTGCACCCACCTCCCTCCCCCCCATCTCATCTCATCTAACCTCATCTATCAATCCATGAAGCCTATCTTCCCTTCCTAACCTTACGTTTGCTTCTTCCTTGGCATAGTAATCTCCTCCTCTTTCAATATCTTGCATTTATTCAATCATCAGTTAAAAAACCCTAATTGGAAGTGCAAGTATTAGAGAGGTATGTCAAAAAAAGGAGGAACAATCCCTGGGCTTCAAAAGGATGTCCCATGGAGGGTATCTACTTCAAAACCCATTCCCAAAATCCACCACTCTCCTATTCTCCGCGTCTCTCAAAACCCATTTTCCGATTATGCCGTCTCTGTCATGAAGCACCCTAATCCCATTGGAACCGGCATGGCTACTGAAGCGCTTGTGGAAGCTGCTGGTCCTGATTGTATCGTCCCTGGCCAGATTACACCCTTTCGTGTACTTGGTCTTAAGGTCTTCTTCTTCTTCCTTTTCATTGATTTTAAGTTCTTTCTTTCCTTTTTCGTTCATTAGCTCTTACTTCTCCTGGGATTTTTCTACAACCTACTGTTCTTATTCAACTAATTGTTTTCTCAACGTATAGAAGTGTGACTTGACGACAATCCTTTTGTTAAACTTTCTTGTAATTGGAACTAATAGTTTTTGGTCCGAACTCTGGACTAATAGGTTAATCAACCAGGTTAAATTACCTAGAGCTTTTAATGGTGACGAGTGAGCAGGTAGCGATTCCAATTTCGAATAGTGATTCATATAATTGAATTGGAATAATCTAGGATTTTTTAGGTTTATACGATTGACTTTATCATGTATTGAAGGAACTTCTCTTATGTTTGAGTCATTCTCTGCGTCGCAGCTTATTTGCATAAAGCAATCTAGCGAGCAGAACTTATTTCTGCAATTTCTTACTGTCTAATGCTTGAAAGTTCTCGGAGTTATTTTTCATAATTACCTGTTTAATTCATTGGTTTTATTTTCCCTTTAACAGGTTTGGCCTATTGAGTTTGACTTGAAATTTATGGAACCTGTTGGACGAGAACTTAAGTTACTTGGAAAGGTAACTGTAAATCTCAGCATAACTTTGTTCTAGTAATCGTGTTAATGATATTCCAATATAGTGATGTTTTTGAAGTTGAAACAGCCATGCCCATACATGTATCATCATGTTTTTTGCATGTTCAATTAGGTTTAGGTTTTGCTGAAAGGGTCTTACATCTTGCAATCCAACAATTAAATCCTTAAATTGTCATAACTACCCTGGTTCTTTTTATTTAACCTTTCTTGGGATCTGCCATGACTTTAGGCCTTGTTTTAGACGGTGTTTGGGTGTTGCAGTTGAACCGTAGTTTTGCAAAAGTTTTAATTATTTTTTTGCTTCAAATTAATCTTTTTTGTGTATTTTTGGATCGATTTGATGTGAAGATGTCAAAAGAAAAAGAAAAATGTTTTAATGCATTTCCAAGCGGAAAACATTTTGAAAAGCAACCTTTATTACTATCCCAAACACCCCCTTAATCCTTGAATGCTATTCAAATTAATGAGAGGCTTGCGTGTAGATGTAAGCGAACCAATTTGGCATTATAATAGATCTGAACAGAAGAGGAAAAATATGTTTTTCTGGTACGTAAAGTGAAAATTGACTTAAAAGTAATATTTGAATATCTCTACTCGTGTCAATTTCAATAGCCTCAAGAAATTCCTTCAAACGGATCAATTCCACTTTCACTAACTGTGAGCATGAGGTGTGGTTCCTGAATGTCCAATCATCCAGTCAGCATTTGCCTGATTACTATGGTTCTGCAGATCCCTTCTTTGCAACTAATTGACATTTCCATAAATACCAGTGGAGTTATCTATGAGAAATATAACTTGCATGGTAGTTGAGAAGAACTGATCCCTGCTTTTTAATGTTTGATTCCGGTGGAATGGCTCAGCTTGTCCTTATATAATGGAGTGTGTCTCAAATATGTCCTTATATCCCAAATTGAGTTAATTGTATCCTTCTAAAATGACTAAGTTTCCAATCTATCATTTTTGTTAATTTTTTTTGTTCAAATTAACTGAATCAATCATGCATATAACTTAATATTATACTGAATGGCCATGAGCTCCATGGACATGTCAATTGCGTGCAAAGCATGTGACAAGCAGATTTTTCTTTTTTTAACAAAAGATTCACATTAGACAGAACCTCTCTATCTCTCTCTCTGAAACATCAGTCCTTCTCTCTCCCCGATGATCTCTTCCTCCTCCATCAGGGTTGCCATTTTTGGTATAATATTAAGTCGCATGCATGATTGATTATCTTAATTTGGACATAAAAGAATGGAATGTTAGATTGGAAACTCACTCCATTAAATAAGGACATATTGAGCCATTTCCCCTTGATTCTGATTGGAAGGTTGGATGCTATCGAAAGTGAGATTAACATTCGAGTGTATGAATGAGTCTCAATTAGAGTTATTATATAAATTTCTACTGATGATTTTACCTATTACACAACAATAAATCCATTTGAAACATTTCAGAGACAAGTGAACTATTAAATATACAGTTGTCAAAATGGAGGACAGTTAGTTGCATGATTAGTCCAAATACCTGCCTATTAGTGTTCAGGTATTGTTTCTGTTTTTTGATATTTGGAGCACTTAATGATTTGCTCGACTCATTGATATATCATCTACTAAAGCAGGATATTTCTGCTCATAAAATATGATTTTCAAAGCGTGATGCACAAGTCACTTGCAGAGTAACAGTTGTGTAGATTAGCTTGTCATGGATCCAGCATCTTGTGTTGTGGTTGATTTGAGAAAGGAGATTATTATTTACCTGTGAATTCCTCTGGTAGAACATAACAAAACTGTAAATCACATCTTCTGGAGTGGAAGACTAATACTGCCTAAAGCACTAGTTTCTTTTCATTTTTGTTTTTGCTTTACTATCTTAAAGATTTATTTTCAACAATCTAAGTTTATGTGGTGCCCATTTCAACATTTTTATTTTTTCCTGCAAGATTGTTAGGAAATGAATGAATAAAATATTGCATTCATATCTATGTTTCTATCGAGCCTTATTTGGTGGTTAATGTTCTTGTATATGTAGTTCATGGATGATGCTGTCAACCTGATGAACAAGTCTTTTGTAGACCGCTAGATGGTTGGCGTTTTTGGTTATTGCTGGCAGCTGCAGTTTGGGTTCGCCACTAGCAGAAGCCTAGCCAAGCAGAGTTGCTATAGATAAGATATCCTTTTATGTTATCTTGCCAATTTCTAGTTCTAATGACAATTTCAAGTCAGTAGTCGGACAGTTTTATGTTGGATGCTGACGAGGATTCTGTTTCTTCAATGTTCTTTTGACCCTACAGTTTTGTCCTGCTTGCGTTTTCTCTTAAAATTCAATGACATCGAAAATCGACAACACTTGCTTAAAAAGATGTGGTTTAATAAAAGGTCTGGAGCATGTAGTTTTGATGTGTCTAATGCCTTGAGAATGATTATTATTGGTTTGTGATGTACAATAATGTGATCATAGATAGCATCCAATTCAATTGATGCTATGAGCTACTTGTGGTCTTTAAGGCGATGGTAAAATATTTTGGCAGTTGTATGGAGAATTGTTAGAGCAATAATGTTAAAAAAATAAGCATGAAGTGTGCGATGCAACTTGGTTACTTCTCTGATTTATTTATGTGAACTCTTCCTCAGCGCAATGGCCCAAGTGTTAAAATATTGTTTCGTCATCACCAAACAACACGTTTTTAGCCCGAATGGAATTGTCCTTTACAAGACATGAGAAGAATGCTAGCGGGACTTAAAATTCTTTTGACCAAGATTCGTTAGGTATTTCATCTTATGTGATGTAATTGTTATTTGTTTTAAATTGATGGTAAAGAGAGATCCTGAGAATAATCTGTGTGGTCCTTGGGATAATCTTAGGAGCATGTTTTTCACATCAGCCTAGCATGTTAGAAGGATTTATTCTTCTACTAGTTTTAGAATGGATATTATTTAATTATAGAATGGAGAGGTTAGCAAATCATTAATCACAAAGTGTAACGCGATTTAATAAAGAACTTGGAAAAATAAAGGGTGCCTGTTTCTTGATTTTTTGAGAAAGGTATTTCTCAAGACATGCACGAAGATAATTTGGCTTCTTGCTGGTTTGTAATTCCAGCCAAGACCAGAGAGGAAAAATAATCCAAGAGCAGGGCTATGAGCACGTCCTGCACAGCATGTAAATGCGAGTTTGAGTTTGGAAGTAAAGCTAAAAATGGTGATGCATAAAGGGATCAGAACTCCATCTATCTTCATGTCATTATTATTAAAACAGCCTAGAATGTCCAAATTAAAAACATTTTACTTGGATTTCATTTAAGCCAACGGTAGTGTTACCACAAACTAGTGCTATCCACCTATGGTGCCATGTAAGATTTTCTGGTCACCCTTTCATTTGCTTTTCCCCTGCTATTAGCCACCTTGTTCGACATATAAGAATACGAAAACCTCTCCGAAGTAGTCATTACAATAATGGCTTATAAAGGAGACAAATTGCGTAAAGGGCCTTGGCATGAGGAGGAAGATGAGCGATTAACAGCTTCTGCAACTCTTGTAGGAGAACGAAAGTGGGACTCCATAGGAAGATTATAAGGTAGGATCCTTGTGAATAACGCAAGAGATGATTTCTTCTTGATCTCTTTAATAAATTCCCTCTTGTGTGTTCACTCGCAGGTCTGATGAGGAGCGGTAAGAGTTGCAGAATGAGGTGGCTGAACTACCTTCGACCCAATCTTAAGCGCAGTCATATAATTGCTGAAGAAGAGCAGATTATTATTCAATTTCATGGGCAATGGGGTAACAAGTAATGTTCTTTCCTGTGCTAGTTCTGACAGTTCTAAGCTAATACAAGCAAATTCTTTGTACCCAAATTTTTCTCTAATTATATTGTCTTGCAGATGGGCAAGGATTGCTCGAAGGTAGCCCGGCAGAACTGACAATGAGATCAAGAACTACTGGAGAACTCATATGAGACAGGAAATACAAACCCAAGAAGAAGGTGCGGTGCAATTCTATTATTCCTCTTGTCATGGAAACTTTTTTATTTGCCTTTTTGTGCTTTGGTAACAACCATTTACAAAGCTCAACTAACAACCTGCTTTCTGAACAGGAAATTTTCAGTCCAAAGTTTACAGTGCCAAACCAGAGTTGCTGTATCAAAATGGCGACAGTACTAGTGCCTGGAAATATAGCATCAGATAATACAACTCTGTTGATGATAATATCGGACCCGCAGGCTCTTCCTTGGAACATTACGAGTTATCAAGCCTGACACGCAGGAACTCACCATATGAGACCAGGCAGTATGATTGGATTCCAAAGTTGTTCAGTGATTGAAGTCAAACAGAAATTCATGGGGACGGTAATGGTTTAGACTGGTGTTTCTGTGATCCAGCTTGGAACTCTGAAGATAGTGACACTAGCACATTGGTCTCCTTGGGTTCTCTCTGGGATATGAATTAAGCGCACACATGATAGTGACATTGACAGTTGAATCGCAAATATGCAAAAGCTTCAAACTGTAAAAAAGATGTGTTTTGGCCACGTTTGCTAAATATCAACTTGTACTAATATGATCTTAAAACTTGTTGCTCATGAATATAGATTTGTGTTGTTTTTTCATTATCATGCTAAATCCACCGTAACTTATCTTTTCAAGACTTGTCTTTCTAGCCTTCAAGTTAACACATCACAAGTCTAACACAAAATTTAAACAAAGTTCAAGGAACACTATATTCATTTAAGATTAGAGTGTTTTTCTTGCAGGTGTTGCTAGGCCCAACATATTCTCTAGGTCTAGTTTTATCAGCCCATGAAAAACGTCTCCAATCTTTCTAGCGATGATGTTTTCCAGCCTCATCAGTTTACATGCGTAAACCTTCTTTTAAGCACGAAATGGTGTAGTTGGTGAGAAAATACTGTGGGGATAATCGTTCCGCAAAATACTAATGAACTGCAGAATAGAAAATGCAGCAAGTAAATAAGTTTTGAAGTGTGCAAGGAGCAAAAGTTTCAAGGGTGCAAGGTTATGTCTATGACACGAACAAGGTTTCAACCTTCAAGCAAGCCAAAGCCGTTGCCTGTTCCTCAGAGGGACAAAGACAGTGAAGAACCGAAATCCCATAAGAAAATAGAAGCGGAACAGGAGTTGATAAATTGTACCGTTTAGTATCGAATGGACGATCATGCTCCAGAGCACTTTGCGCACTAGTTACTGATTCCTCGGAGAACGTTTTCCGAAAGTTTCCAGTAACCTAAACATAATTTTTGTAGTATAGATTGCTGCCTCTCTATTTTCCGATACATAATCAAAGTCTAGGGCGTCCAGCTAAGTTTTTTTGAAGAACATGTGAACTCGGTTCATCAATGCATAGAAGCTTGAATCAACCAGTTAAAACCATCTCTATTAACTAGTGTTCCACTGTTATTTTATAAAATGATCTAGCAGTTGCTATTTACTCTTACCAGCATCAGATATATTTTGTTATGCTGTAGAGGAGAGACAATTTGAAGGCAGAACAGTTCGCAGTTATAATTGATGGCTTGAAGCAGTTTTTTATTCATGTAGAAAAGCCAGCAATGTAATATGCTCGTCATAATGTTCATGAGCCAAGAGGTGGTCAAGTGTGATAAAAATGGAAAAAGATAATATTATCTATTTAATTTATTCAACTAGATAATGAGAGAAAGAAGCTTAGGTGAACTGAACAAACTTTAGTTGATGTCACTTTGCTTTAAGGGAAAGATCACCCCTTCTTTCCCTTTTCTAATCTCTGAGAAGGCTGAATTTACCTAGAAAACCTACCATGAAATACGTCTTCTTCTTATCTCTAATGATTTACTCAATAATAGATTATCCTGAGTTCATTGATAATTTATAATTGTTGATAATTTATAATTTATTGTTGAAATACATTATCTTCTTCTTTTTATCTCAATGGTTGATAATTTATAATTTATTGGTGAGTTCATTAATAATAAATATATCAATAAATTTACAAATAAAAAAAACACGTAAAAATAATAATTGTTTTATTCTATCGATATCTTTATTATTGAATTAAACATATTATTGATAAGAAAACCATATGTAATATAATTGATTTTTTTTATTTATTCATTAGTATATAACAAGAGAATTTTTTTGTTGGTGATCATTAATGAATGCATAAACATAAAATTCTGTTGGTAAAGATGGTAATAATATATGGATGGAAAATTTCTATTAATATTTTTATTTGTATTTATCATTTTTCTAGGAGCACACAAATATAAATCTAATAAAAAGCCACCATAAACAAATATGTAGTCTCTATCAAGTTGCATCAATGTCATTATAATATCTTAGAACTAGATTTAGATATTAATTTTTTCTGATTCAATTTGGAGAATATTGAGTACAATATCCCACCTCACAAACAAGTTCTCCAGTCTGAGAGTTTCCCTTTTCTGGTGGAGACAAGAATCTCCCTGAGTTATATTTGGATTATATTAAATAACTGGGACCTCATGTATATTTTCTGCCTTTCTGGTTTGCCTCTTCCCCAAGTTGCTTCATTCTCTTTGCTTTTTAAGCAAGGAATACTCATTTGTCAAAATTCTCTTTGCTTAATACATGTAAATAATATTAATTTTTTTAGTAAATTGTCTTTTCTCTGTGCATAAGAACTCCTTTTGTTCTCAAGCTTGCTTCACATTGAGAAACACTGTAATGCTCTTTTCATTGCAATATCTTTAGGGTTTAATTAGGTTGTGCGTGGCATTACAAATTCCCAGTAGGAGGTCTTTTTCTTGATGCAATCCGCATGCTTATTGTCATTATATGGCCAGTCTATTACACAAAGACATTGAGAATAAAATAACTAGATATATATGGACTTATTTAATGAGTTAATTTTTTGTCTATTAAGATTAGGATTAAGAAAAACCATAAAGGATACGAGGAAGAATGTTGACCCACACCTATTAGTAATCCATAATATTTTTATTTTTTTTTTATTCAATTTTTTTATTTGAAGTTATATTTATTTAGAATTGTGCTTAATCGTTTGTTTTGGCTTTGACAATATGAAATGAATTTTTATTGATACAAAACAATTGAAGTTATTAATAAATAATAAATATTCAAGTTTCTTTTCTTTAAAGGATTAAGAATTGACTTAGTTTTCAATCATCCCAGTCCTAAATTTGAAAATTTTTAAAAATTAATTTTTTATTTTATTTTTTAACATTGAGATATTTGAGCATTGAATTTTATAATTTATATAATTTATTTTTTGTTATACGTGGTCATTATGATTTCATAAATTCAGTCATGAGGTTGTTAATCTAACCCGAGTTAACTAAGTATTTTAATTGAATTTTTTTTTTTAATTTCATCTTTTGATATTGGATTGGTTTAAAAATTAAACTTTAATATATTTTTCAATTTGCTTTCTACATAAATATTTCAATTTGCTTTTTATATAAATATCTAGATCTCACGATTCAGGTCACAGTTACACAATCTAAGTCAGGAGGTAAATTTTTATATTTTTTTAATTCTTTTCATTTTAATTTTAATATTTAACATTTGAATTTTTATTGTTTTTAAATTGTTTTTTTTCCTATTAATAATGTCATCTAGTATCTTATTATCTTAATATTTAAAAAAAATAGTATTTAATATAATTCAAATTTTGAATTATTGTTAATTTTTATATTAAAAAATAATATAAAAAACATAAATTAGATATTAAATTAAAATCATGCCTCAATAGCATTTACGTGGATGTCACATGCTTCTTCTGTTTTTTTTTTTAGGGGGTACAAAATTAAAACCGTAAGATTCAGATGGGATAATTATTGCAAGAATTGATGAAAATAGGCTCTCAACATAATTGCAGATGTTAAATTAAAATGGTGAAATTTTGTGCTGTTTGAAAATACAGTAGATTAAGTGAGTTTGAAAATATATTAAATCAGTCCTAAATTTGAAAAGTTATCATAAATTAACTTCAATTATTTTTAAAAATTAATTTTTTATTTTATTTTTTAACATTGAGATATTTGAGCATTGAATTTTATAATTTATATAATTTATTTTTTGTTATACGTGGTCATTATGATTTCATAAATTCAGTCATGAGGTCATTATGATTTCATAAATTCAGTCATGAGGTCATTATGATTTCATAAATTCAGTCATGAGGTTGTTAATCTAACCCGAGTTAACTAAGTATTTTAATTGAATTTTTTTTTTTTAATTTTACCTTTTGATATTGGATTGGTTTAAAAATTAAACTTTAATATATTTTTCAATTTACTTTCTACATAAATATTTTATATCTAGATCTCACGATTCAAGTCACAGTCACATAATCTAAGTCAGGAGGTAAATTTTTATATTTTTTTAATTCTTTTCATTTTAATTTTAACATTTAACATTTGAATTTTTATTGTTTTTAAATTGTTTTTTTTCCTATTAATAATGTCATCTAGTATCTTATTATCTTAATATTTAAAAAAAATAGTATTTAATATAATTCAAATTTTGAATTATTGTTAATTTTTATATTAAAAAATAATATAAAAAACATAAATTAGATATTAAATTAAAATCATGCCTCAATAGCATTTACGTGGATGTCACATGCTTCTTCTGTTTTTTTTTTTAGGGGGTACAAAATTAAAACCGTAAGATTCAGATGGGATAATTATTGCAAGAATTGATGAAAATAGGCTCTCAACATAATTGCAGATGTTAAATTAAAATGGTGAAATTTTGTGCTGTTTGAAAATACAGTAGATTAAGTGAGTTTGAAAATATATTAATTTTTTATTTTATTTTTTGAAATTTATTTATAAAATTAGAACATTAAAATAATTAGAAAATAAAAAAACAATAATTTAAAACTAAAAAAATTCAAAATCATTTAAAAGTTCAGTTTAACGACGATGACAAACACCGCCAAGGAAAAATTACAACTTAGTTTTCCTGCTACAACATGGATGTCAGTGCTGCTGCTATAATGTGCTGGAAAGATAACAAGTAGATCAGTGCAGTCAAAATAGGAAGAAGAGCATATGGAGAGGGAGGTGGCAACGAAATACTGCTACCGGAGTAGTCATCCAAATAGTCATCGCCCTCGCCGGATCCTAATCCCTCTTTGCCGCCATTTGACCCTGTGCTCCACATTCCCAAATTGTTGTTCCTGCTCATTCCATTTCACTCGGTCATGTCTATCGTAAGTCGTAACAAATTCTTCTAACATTAACTAGCAACTGATTACTTAATCTTCACTGTTTCTTGCAGCCCACAGCATCAAAGTGAAACAAAACCTGAGGTTCAGTATTATTTTTTGCCTAGTAACTATTCTTTTGGTGTCAAGTTCTGAAATAGTCATGGCTCCTTTTAGCAGCCGAAATCCCAACTTAAGAACCAGGTATATGGCAGAAAATCAAGCCCAATATGGCATTGGAAATAAATCCCAGGATTTGTTTGGCATCAGAAATAAAAAGTAGGGTTGTGAGTGTTCCTAGAAATTTAGTGAGAGAAAAGGGGATAGAATTAAAGGTAAAAGAGAAGAAGAAAGTAAGGGACGGGGAGAGAGAAAAGAAAAGAAATGTTACTGTATACCTGCCACCAACACCGAGGACGCCAGAGTGCATAGTG